GGTCTCAGCCATCTAGGATAGGAGCTTGAAAGCAGGCCGGACTATTGCTGCAAAGGTTGTCAAAGGATGGAGTGGCAGGAAATTGGGGGGTGCCCATGAGCAGTTTTCTTACGGATTGTCCCTTAATTTGTGTGTGATGCTCCCTTGGGATTGGAAGAATGCCTTTTTGGCACCAGACCTGACAGGGGATGCGGGGTCCTGCTCAGATCCTCATCTCAGTGGTGTGTGAAGTTGGGCTCCTGGGGGGTGTGTCACGCCTTCTTAGCAGCCCTCCCGCTGCTGGGCAGAACTGTTTGCGGAGCCCAGCCCAAGTTGTGGAGCTGTAAGCAAATAAATTATTGTTTTATCTACTAAACTTCAGGGCGGTTTGTGTTGTAGCAAAAAATAACCAGTAGGGAAAACTAAAAATAAACACTAGTTAACTTAAGAGTTCATTTCCTGCCATAGAGGAATCTCTGGGAATTCTCCAGAATAGCAGGTGAGGGGTCGCGGGTGCCAGCTGATAGGCAGGCCTACCACTCCTTTGAACGGTACCAGAGGGCCGTGGGTGTCTCGTGCTTTGGGGACACAGGTGGGAACTTCCAGCAGCGGCTCTGGGATGAGGTGCCTTTAGCACTTGGAGATTTTATGCACAGGTCAAGTCCCACCCAGGGGTGCCCACCCCTACCATCCTGGTGGAACTTCACAGTTTTCGATGCATTTCCCTTTATTCCATCTCACCCCTGGGTGCCGCAAGGCTTTTTAGGAGCCACGTCTGTAGACAAGAGACTGGGTCTGGAAACGACTCTGTGTCCCTTCTGCAGTCAGGAAGCCAGTCGATGCCCTGTGTCTTGCTGGAGGCCAGGGCAGGGACGCAGCTGGCCCTGGCGCTCACAGGGCTTAACCCGTTTCCTGGGTGCCAATGACCTCGTGCCAGCCCTCACCTCAGAGCTCTGAGGTTGTGCATAGTGTCTGGGCGCCCCACAGAGGCTGGCCTCTTTCCCAGCCTCCCCCACTGGGCACAGGGCCTGGCTTGGTTGGGAGCTTGGGGGATGTCTGGCCATTAGCAATAGGTAAGGTCTGTAAATGTCAGTGACGATGTCCTTTCCACGCGACTTAAGGGTGGCAAACTTGGTCTTCAGTGGTGAGTGGGTGACCTTCTCCCGCCTCTGAGTCTCTTCCACCCCCCATCTTATGGAGCTCAAGCCCCTCCCCAGCCCCCCACCCAAGGCAGACACCCACCTTCCTGGGCTCTGGGGTATGACTTAAGCCCAGCCACAATGGGCTGACACTCCTCCCATCTCTGGCTACGGTCTCCTCATCCAACATAGAGGTTGCACTGGCACCAGAGCAGAGTTCAAAGTACACATTCCAACCATCTCTGCGACTGGACTCTCTCCTTAGGTCACATGCAGGAAACCCCTCTCCCGGCAGTGTCAGTGACCCGGGGCGGGGGGAGGGGAGAGATGACAATCCTGGAGGCCAAAGTTGTCACGGTCCCCAGGGGGCAGCGGACCCGGCCAACCCTGCTCCCCACAAGTGGCGATGCGAGTGTAGAGCCCAACAGCACTGCAAGGACGCCCACTGCAGCGACGCCTGTCTCCGTGCCGGAGCCCACTGAGAGAACACTCCCCGCTCCAGAGGCACCAGGGCCTTGGCCCAGATGACCAAAGGGGCCACCTTCCACCTCAGGGTGGGGTCGCCCACCCTAGGCCCTATTCACCCTCCTCCCACAGACCCCTGTCCAGCACCTTCCCTTGTAGAGTGGTTTCCACTGCTGAGGGGGAGGATGCTCCCTTAGGTGGGGGAACCTCACCCCTCTGAGAAGGTGCTCTGCTTGTCCCCCCTCTTACCCACCAGGCCTTAGGAAGGCTCGAGGCAGGGCCTCCCCTGGTGGCGCAGGCGGATGTGCGCAGCGCTGTGAAGCTGTCCGCAGCCTCAGCAGCGCCAGTTCGATCCTGGCCAGCTGGTGAGGGTCCCACATGGCGCAGCAGACCTCTCCTGTCTCGCCCGCTGCTCCCCTCAGCAGTGTATTTCAGTCAGTCTGCCTGTTCTGGTCCCCACTCTGTCTCTGGTGGATCCTCTCACCCTCCCGCGCATCTGGCCTGTACCCTGGTTCTTATATAAAATAAACAAATCTTTAAAAAACAAAACAAAACAGAAGGCCCAAGGCAGCGAGGGCATCCTCAGCAAGACCAGAGCCCTCCCCAGAGCACCCCAAAACTGGCCACACACACACCCTTCAGACTTTGTAGCTGTTTTATTAATAATATTATCTTCTCCTTTAAGCATCCCTTTAAGGGTGAAATGAAATCCAACCATTTACAGAGAAAATGATTTCAGAATGTACATATTGATTTCCCTTACAAAAAAAATACTACTACTGTTATTGGTGTCCTCGAACGTTCACCTTCCAGGGCCTGCCCTCTGAGTGGCGAGCCCGTCTCCCCACCCCGACTGTCACCTCTGCCCCCAAAGCTCTCCTACTACTTGTCCCTGGGCCCACCACGGCCCACAGTGGGCTGGGCCCCTTGAGTCCAGGGTCATCGGGTCGCTGGATCCCAGGAAGAGAAATCTGGGGACGGTGACAGGGTCGGGGGGCTCCCGTTCACAGTGTGGCTTCCCTTCATACTGGGGGAGTGGTCCTGAGCTCCCCTGCACCCCAGAATCGCCAGTGGATGATGTGATTATATCTGACACTCTTCAGCCCCTGCTCCTCCCCCCCTCACAGCTGTCCTCCCCCACCCCCCCAGGCCTAGGCCTCCACATGCAGTGGCAGCCACCTGAACCTGACCTGGGTCTGAGCAGGAAGCGGACTGGCAGGTCCCATCTGCCCCCACCCCTTCTTTCCCTGCCCTGAGCTGGTGAGGAGGCTGGAACCCCTGCCAGCCTGGGGGCGTGGGGTGCAGCCCACAGCAGCTGAGGGTGAGGAGGAAGCCCCGGGCTGGGTTCAGGCACAATTCAGCAGCCCCCAGAGTCCCCCTATCCAGGGGTGCGTCGAGGGACAGGAGGGCAGCGGCTGACCTGGAGCTACCGAATAACCTCACCTCTTTCAGACACTTTGAGATCCCAAGAGGGACCAGAGAGAGGGGTTCCCTTGGGGGGTACCCCTAGACAGGAGGGAGAGTGGGGGTGATAGAGCCCCCGCAGCCTGCTTCATGCCTGCCCCCAAAGGCTGCTCCGTGGCCAGCTCCCCCCACCAGGCCTGCTCTGGGCACACACCCACACAAGGCGGTGGTCAGGGGTCGTCTTCTTTCCCTGGCCCATCAGGACGGTCCCATAACCACCGGAGAAAGTCCCTGCTGGAGAAGGATGCAGGGGGAGGGGGGAGGTAGTGAGCGCTCAGTACAGCCTTCGGGTCAGGAGGACTCTCATTCCTTGAACTGAAAGACAGACAGACAGACAGACCCCACGTTCCCCAATTGCCAGGCTCCCCGAGGGCTTTCTGTCCTGTCATTTTGGGGGGAGCTGCAGGAAGTGCGGCCAGAGGCTCCAGGTCCCAGGAAGGGGAGGCCTGGGTCCTGCTCCCAAGTCCACACACAAGCACGTATTTCTAGGAGACACAGACGCGAACAAGCACACACAAGCATGCAGCCATGCCCATAAATACACACGCACACACGACGCGGACCGCTCCTCAGGCAGGCTCTGGGCCGGCGTCCCTGAGGGAGCGGGTTCGCTCACTGCCAGGGCCACCCGCGGGGGGGGGGGGGGGGGGAAGGCAGGCACAGGCTGTCTCTCACAGGGACTTGCGGAGCAATGGGACTTGCTGAAACAGTCGCTGCCACCCTCCCTCCCATCCCCGGGGGCAGAGGTGCCGCTCGCCCCCCCCCCCACTCCGCACCCCCACGCAGCAGCCCAGCGGCTGACTACCTTTCCCAGCCTCCCCTGCAGTGACTTGTGGTCATGTGACGAAGCCCTGGTCAGTGATGGCCACCTCTGACTCCCACCCGAAACAGGAAAGGGGCTGTGACCCCTTGCCTGCCCCTAGGCGTAGCGGGCGCACCCCGATGATGGTGGGCGCTTCGAGAACTGGGAGACGTGCTGCGCCCTAGGCCAGGGCATCGCCTTCTAGGCGGGAAAGTAGAAACTAGCTGGTCCTGCTTAAACCAATGCATCTGGGGGCCTCAGTTACAGCAGCTTAGAACACACTCAAATGAAGACGTCCCCCACCCCATGAGACAAACTGAGAGGAATGAGGTGCCATGCCACCTGCCCGAACATCCCCATGGGCCCAGGGAGCTTGGTGGGCCCTTCCCGCCCCAGCCAGTCCTAAGGAAGGACACAAGGGGCACAGGGGCTGCGGATGCCAACAAGAAGGGGTGATGGGGAGTCCCCACTTTCTGCCACTCCCCCTACCTCGACCCCCAGCTCCAACCTACCAGAGCTGCCCACAGTCTCGCCTCCTGCTCCCGTCCCGTCCTGAGAACTGACCCATCAGGCCTTGGGGGGCTGAGCGGGCAGCCCCCGGGATAGCAGTATAGAAACTAAGTGGGAATGTCAGGCCAGGTTTGGGACCAAAGGGACTCACTCGGCTTCCCCGGTGCCCGTCCATGTCAGCTCAGGAGGGGCGCAGAGCACAGGACCCCCAGCTCCGAGGCGTCCCACGAGCATGTGGAAGGAGCGCTCCCTCCCAGCTGCTTTCCACCCCCTCCCACCCTGGGGTCCCCTTTTCTCCTGAACCCAAATGCAACTATTTACAGAGCCCGGGGGCCTCTTGGCACCCCCCATTCCCACTGCAGGCCCAGAGTGCTGGGACCAACCAGGGGCTTATCCCACACTGCCGCCCTGGGGCGGCCCACAGGCTCCCATCCCCCCCTGGCTGCCCCTGCCACCCCTCGGCCATCATGCAATCTCCGTGGGCACCTCCCCGCCACAACACTCCCGCTGCGGGGAAGGGCCGAGTTCCCCTCTCCAGTCCCGAAGAGGGCACTTTTCAAGCTCACAGGCCTGACCCCTGATGCACAAGGGCTGAGGCAGGGAAGGCTCCCCCACCCCGCCCCGCCCCTCCCTGCCCTCTTAAGAACCACCCAGGGGGCCGAAGGAGGCAGGAAGGTATCCCGACGGGCGCGGCCACCCTCCACCCTGCCACGGCCCCGGCCACGCAGCCTTAGCCTTCCACCGCGTCGGCCTTGCTCCTGGCGGGCGCCCTCCCGTCGGGGCCCTTGGGCTCCCGGTAGGGGTTGTCCAGCAGGTAGCGGAACTGGTCGTAGTTCTTGAGCAGGTACTTCGGGGCGTACATGTGCTCGGTGGGGTCGGCCGGCGGGTACTCCTGCTGGGTGCCGTCGAACCAGCCCCCCGTGCGGATCAGGCTGCGGATGTAATTGAGGTCGCGCTTGTCCTCGTAGTCCCCCCAGCGCGGGAAGTCGCCGTTCTGGGCCGACACCAGCTTGAAGTAGATGCCCTCGGGCGTGAAGCACCAGGAGCAGTGCCAGCCGGCGAAGTGCAGGGGGCTGCCCAGCGACCACTGCACCAGGATGTGGCCGGTGCGGTTCTCGTACTGGCGGAAGTTGGGCATGGTGTAGTACTGGCGGCGGCGCAGGCGGATGCCGTCCAGCCCGTACACCGTCTGCAGCATGTCCACCGTGCAGCCCGACACCACCTCCAGCGTGCCCGGCTGCTTCCAGAAGAAGCCGTACAGCGACTTGCGCATGTGGAAGGCGAAGGGCTCCGTCCAGCCGTCGTAGAGCTTGAGGAAGAGCACGCCGTCGCGCGCGGGGATCTCGTCGGCGTCGTCGATGATGAAGACGTCATCGGGGCGCAGGTTGCGCAGGCGCGACACGCCGTCCTGCGTCAGAAAAGTGCGCAGGTAGTCGTCGGCGATCCAGCCGTCCTGCCGGCCGCCCAGCGGGAAGTGGTCGAGGAAGACGTAGAGCACCTTGTGGCGGATGTACTCGAAGGTGCCGTTCGTCAGCATCTCCCGGAACTTGAGCGGCCGCGGCTCCCCGTAGGCCGTGAAGTTGGACTCGCACACCACGAAGGCGTCCACCACGTCGCCCAGCTCGTGGAAGCGCACGTCCAGCAGGTCGAACTCGTGGTTGATGTTGATGGCGTTGATGACGCGCCGCGGCACCTCGCGCGGCACCAGGCGCTCCTTGGTGGGCAGGTTGGAGTACTGCACCACGGTGGGCACGCCGCAGCTCGGCCCGTGCCAGCCCGGCAGGCACACGCACTCCACCCACTTGCGCCGCGCGCCGCGCCCGCCCGCGCGCTCCCGGGTGGTCAGCGGGCGCCGCCCCGGAGGCCGGGCCGCGGCGCCCGCCGCCCCTCCGCCTTCTCCTCGGGCCGCCCCGACGGGGGCTTCTCCAGCATCTTGGTGCCGGGCTTGAAGCAGACGCCCCCGGCCTTGGTGCGGACGAAGTACTCGGTGGTGTCCTCGGGCAGCACGAAGTCCATGCGGTGGAGCTCCTCCGCGGCCTTGCTGGGCGACAGCGGCTGCAGCAGGGGCGAGTCGGAGTAGAGGGGGGTGCGCAGCAGGTCCGGGCCGCCCGGCTCCTGGCTGGCCTGGGGCGTGACGGGGGCATTGTTCCAGAAGAAGCTGGACACGAGGTTAGGGCTGAGGGAGGCCAGTTCTCGGGGGAAGGTGACATAGGACAAGGTCTTAAAGAAATGCAGGAAGGAGATGAGGCACAGCCCAGCCATACAGAACAGGAGGAAGAGCTTGTAGCGTCTCATCTTCATCCTGCAGGACAGAGGGAGAGAGCACACGGGTCAGGGGACTGCAGACCTGGCCGCGGACGCCCAGGAGGACTTTGTGAATATCCTGGTCAGTGCCTCCGTGCCAAGTTCCTTCCCAGGAGCCAAGTGCGGAAGTCCAAGTCCCCATATCAGGAACCCCCGGACACCCCAGCATGAAGAAACCTCCCTGCCTGCCCAGGACTTAGCCCCTGCTCCCTGGGGCCCTTCCCATCGAAGACCACCAGGTCCCCACACCCGGTGCGGCCTGCTCCTCCACCTGGGGACCCACCCAGGCTGTCAGCTGCAGGGCTGGGCTTTGCTGCAGGAGCAAAATACTTCCTGGAGAAAGCTCAATCCTGCAGAGCCAAGCTTGGGGGGGGGGGGCACACACAGGCCCGAGGGAGGGGGAGCAGGCTGCCTTTTTGTGGACAAAATTCCTTTTAATACCTTGTCACTGAAAAAAAAAATAACGTGCACGTCTTAAGGGGACACAGTAACTCTAACATACTCAAAGAAAAAGATTAAGTAAACCCAACCCAGCCCCCCCGCCCCGCCTCACCCCTGTGCTAGACCCATCTCCAGGCATAAGCAGTTGGACCTGGTGGAGGTAGGCGGCTGGTGGGATATGCAGGTCTTCTGCTCTCAGTTTCATATTTTTCATAAACATGATCACATTGGACACTAGTGCAATCAAGTTGTTCTCCCCAGTCAATGATAAATTTCAGTATCAGTAGAAATCTACATTTTCCTTTGAAACCTCACATAACATTTCCTGGGTCCTGTGAGCCAGTCGCCCTCTGTTCACGGACGTACCCATTCTCTAGTGACGCAGTTTAAATGATCAGTTAGCGTATGGCTGGGGAAGGGAGAGTTTTGTCTTTTTTTTTTACAACTTCAATAGACTTTCTATTTCACGGTATTTGTAGCTTGTCAGAGAAGTCGCCAAGATGGCCCAGAGGTCCCCGCACCCGCCTGGTCCGGCACAGCGAGGCTCTGTCTCCATCACCCCTGTGTCTCTGTCACAGGTCGGAAGCCCAACGGGCAGGCGCTTGCTTTACCCCCACAGACTGTTTCAGCAATGCACCCGGGCAGCGGGGCGCTCCCGAAGGTACCCTCACAGCCCATTCATCCCCGAGCCCTGCTGGGGGATAGGCCTCGATGCCCACTTGGCCAGGTGTGACCACTGACTGGCTGGGGACCTTACCCTGTCACCAGAGGGGCGGGGACAGGATCCTGCCTTTGGTATCTGGTGTTTCCATTTCCTCTCTGTCGATCCCTGTGGGTGGGGGCTGCCCTTCCATCTAGAACATTCCTTCCCTTAACGCATTCTTTTCTGTGGCTTCTCCTTACTTCTTTCCCTGTCACTTCCTAGCTCTGAGAACAGCAGGACAGAGTGGAGAGACACAGGCTTGGCTTCAGACTGCTGTGGCCTCCAGCCAGGCCCCTCACCACTCGGGACCTCCATGTCTACATCTCTGAGATGGGCACAGAGGTATGGGGTATGGTGGGTGCCCCCTAACCCTGGATCCTTTCACGGTGGGAGCCTGGACTGCTCCAGTGTCTGAGCCACCTGCTCATCAAGTGTGGCACCTGAAGTGCTGGCTGCAAGCACACTGTAGGGCCAGTACTGTCAGTTTATAGAGGCAGAAACCAGGACCAAGGGGGCTTCAGGGGTCTGCTGGGTTCCAAAGCTGGGGTGGGCACCTGGGTGCCTACTCCCCCAAGTCCTAACAAGCTAGTGAGGGAACAGTGGGGGTTGCCCTTCCCACCAGCCAGGTCCTGCTGTCTGGTCCAGGGCATCCCACCTCCTCTGGCTTGCATGCCTGCCTCCAGAACTGCTCACGGTGGCTGGCATGGCTGGCTGCAGCAGTGGGCAGGACAACCCAGGTGGAGACATGACTCCTCAAATGGGACCTGTTCCAGGACAGAGGGGGTGGGCAGGAGGAGGGGCTGCTCCTACCCCACATTTGCAGCAGGTCTTCCAGGCTCCTCTCTGCTGCAGACCCCAGCCGGTGCCAGCAGAGCAAGACCAGGCAGACCAGCCAGCAGGGTGAGCGGAGGGGCAGAGCGTGAGGCCGGTGAAAGCAAGGGCCATGGGTAAAGCAGCACTGGCCCCAGAGTGACCCACCCAAGGGGTTTCGGGAGTTGGCAAGGCAGCCCCGATCCTTCTGTTCAACTATTTTTCCCCCACTTGGGCCCGCCTTGGGAGGGGTGGGGAGGCGGTGGGGGTAAGCACACCCAATTCCAGCTCTGATGGGGCTGAACCGGCCCATAAGCCGTGGCAGGCAGGGCCAGGCCAGCAGCAAACAAAGGGCTTGGCAAAGTGTCAGGGAGGTGGGAATGCCTGCGTGGCATGAAGGGGCTCCTGTGGCCCCCGCAGGTCACACTGCCCCAGCTGCCCCTTGACTGCCCAAACAGACTGGTTTTCAGGATCTGGTTACACCCGCCAGCTGGGCCTTTTGGAGGTAAGACTGCAGAGCCTGGGAGCGCCCCGACTCACAGGGGCCTCTGGGTGTCTTGATGAGGCTCTGGCCGGGCTTGCTACAGGGATTCATGGAGCTGGGCAGGCCTCCCTTTCACCAAGGGCCCTGGGGGGCTTTAAATGCACACCGTGGTTGGCCTGGAGCAAGTCAGTACCTCGAGGCCACATTTGGGGGACACCTTCATTCATGGCTGCTTGTAGTGTTTCAGCTCTTCTTGGTCTGATGCCTTTTTATCTTATCTTCATCTGTCTTGGTGAGTGCTTCAGATACAGCGTTTGATGGAGTGGCATACAAGAGGGAACAGTGAACAAACAGCATTGGCACCCAAGGCCTCAGTGAAGCCTTTCAACCATCCCGCGAGGGCCTTGGAACTCTCCTTACAACCCATAGAGAGGGGGAAGCAAGACTCACAAAGACATTAAGAAGGTGGCCGAGTCGGACTCGGACTAGGTTCTGAGGGAACGCCGCTCCCTCCCTCCTGACAGCTGAGGCAGCAGGCTGTGGGCCACCCTGCGTTGCTCTGCCTCTGTCACCAAGCGCTACCGAGCAGCCACCCGCGAGACAGACACGAGCCGCTGCTCCTGAACACGCTGCCCCTGCTGGGAGGCTAGGGCCGGTCTGCAGGAGGAATGTCCCAGGCAGAAGGAAGCAGGAAGGCTAGACCACACGGGGCCTGCCACCATGGGCACAGCTGGCCATGTGGTTTCCACGGGAGGGAAGCAGCTCTGCCTGTGGCCGGAGCCCAGACCGCTCTCCAGCCCCCTTCCTGGCCGCCCCAGGCGGCACTGAACAGTCTTCTGGGTTCAAGAGGTCACTGTGAACTTGAGCCTCAAGGTCATTATCCTCTGAACCTCGGCTCCTCCCTCCCTAAATGGATGTCCTAGTCCTGCCTTGCTCAGTTCAAATAAGACCGCAAATCAGACGTTCCAGCGCTCGCCACCTGGGGCTCATCTCCCCCGATGTCCGTCTCCCCACTTAGACTGGGAGCAACTAGGAAGGGGAGGGATGCAGCAGGGTTCAAGAAGCGCCCCTGTATTGCCCTGACCTCCTCAACTGGCCCTGCCATTTCTTATTTGGGTGGCCCTGGGCAACCCGCTTTCTTATCTAGATAAGGAAGGTTCAGCAGTCACCCCACAGCGCCTAGCACATGGAAAGTGCCCAATGCGCTTTTGCTCTTCTTATCACTATTTTTTTTAAGATTTATTTATTTATGCATACAAGACTTGGGATACAGGCCAGAGGTGTGAGGGTTGAGAAGATTCACCAGAGACAGCGGGGAACAGAACAGGCAGACTGACTGAATCACACTGCTGAGGGGAGCAGCGGAGACAGGAGAGGTCTGCCGCGCCATGTGGGTTGCTCTCTGGCTGGGGATTGAACTCGCGCTGCAGTGGCTGCGGACAGCTTCATTAGTGCTGAGACTTAACCCCTTGCGCCACCAGGGAGGCCCTCTCCTTATCACTATTGCTGTTCCCCAGGTTGGCAGAGAGTAGGGGTGCAGCCGGAGCAAAGCTGAGCCCCTGGCAGAGGTTGGGCCCTCATAGTTGCTGTGTGTCTCAGAGCAGCAAGGAGCGGTTGGGGGTTCCACAAATAGAGTCAGGGCAAATCCTGACCCTGCTGCAGGTTGGGATGGGAAATAGCACCCCATTTCAGGTGCTCCAGGTAAAGGGGAGCCTCTGAGAGTCTCCCTAGAAGGACTCTCACCCCTACATACTCTGAGTTGCGTGCTGGCCCTGGGGCCTGGGTCTGCAGCCTGTGTGAGGGGGATGGGCAGGTGCTTCCTGGCAGCCGGGTACTCACAGGCATGGAGACTGCAGCTGACTGTGACCCAAGATGGGGGCTGGACAGCCCCCCTGGGCCACTTCGCCCTGTGCTCACTCCTGGCCGTGGCCAAACCCCAGAAGGTTCCAGCTGGGCAGATGTTTTCCCTTGCCTCTCTTCCCACTTCTCCCTTCTCTTCCCTGGGCCTTCTTTCCTCGGCTGGCTGGAAGGCTGATGGGGTCTGGAAGGGAAGCAGGTGAGCCCAAGCCCAAGGACCCAGCCATCACCTTAGGGTGGGGGCTCAGGCTGTTCCGGAGGGTTCCTGGCCAGAGAGAAGATGCATGTTCCAGATACTGCAGGCTGGGCCCACAGGGCTGCAGAGCAGGCGGGGAGCAGCCTCCCGGTACACACACCCTGACCCTGGCAGCTGTCGCCAGGGTGACACGGCTCCCGTAGAGCTCTCCGTGGTCCTGAGATCGCCTGCACTGACCAGGGTCCTAGCTTGGCCGGGGGGTGCCCCTGGTTGGTCTCACCCTGGCCCCTCACCAACCTCCTTCATGGCTGAACAGCTCGTGCCCTAACGGGTTCTTCCCCTGCCCACCACCCTCTGGCCCCTCCACTGTCTGCCTCACGACACCTGATGCCTGGCGTCCTCAGCGCCGGGACAGCCATGGGGTACTGCTTCCCCACCTGGGAGAAGGGGCCAGCTGTGGGCTGTGTCAACTGTCCTGCCACCTAGCAGGTGCTCCGGACACCCTTGGGAAGCTTCCCTGGGCTCGCCTTCCACCCCACCCCGGTCCTGCCCCTCAACCCCAGGGCTCCGAGAAGAAGGCCAGAGGGACATCTTGGCAGCCAACTCTGCCATGCCCAGCAGCTCCTGAGACACGGGGCTTGTCATGACAGTGGGATTTGAACACACTTCTGACCCCAACAAGTGACTTCACATGTCTGTGGCTTGGCGCCCCTCCCTTCTCTGTAAAATGGAAAAACAACATTCCCTGTCCGTGGAGCTGTTGTAGGAGCGTTAATTCCCGCAGAGGACCAGTTACCACGCAGCGGGTACTCAGTAAGCCCCGGCTTCACCGTTACTGAAAGTCAGGAGGACTCCGTTTGAATCGCAACCCTGTAACTTACAAGCTGTGTCTCCGGACACAGTTACTTGGCCTCTCTGAGCCTTAGTCTTCTGGCATCTAGACGGAAGTCACCCTCCAGGTAGCCCTGGGGGTCCTGGATGGGCCTGGTGTCAGCGCATCCTGCAGGAAGCTGGGCACGTGGCAGATGCTGTAAAAATGCCCATTTCTCTCTTCCCGCTTGGCTTCCTGCCAGATGACCTCACTGAACACACCAGGTCTTGTTCCTGGGCCGGCTCGGCTGAAGAACCAGGCCAGCCAAGGGCTGCTTACCGCTGGCGGGCGCCTGCCACCCACAACTCATTTCTCTGGCTCCCAGGACACGAGGCCAGAACCAGGCCAACCGGGACCACGGTGCTGGGTGCAGCACCTGCTCCTGCATCTGAGAGGCCGGCGTTCAAGAATTCTGCCCAACCCTTCCCCCCAGGCCAGCGTTCCTGCCAAGCGCCCATCTGGTCTCTGCTTGTCCCATTCTTAGTGCTGCCCATTCCAAGCCCTTTGGGCTGCCAGAAATTCTTCCCTGTGTTGGCTACATCAGCCTCCCTGGAGCTTCCATTACTGCTTCTGGAAGCTTCTTGGGGCTGAAAGTCAGCATCTCAGGGATCAGAAGACAGAGACCACCTGGAATCTAGACCAAATAAGGGCCCTTCCAACGGGAGATTCCACGGCCTTGCAAGGAGATGGCAGCGGCCACAGAGGGTGAGAGGGAGGGGCACGGACATGGGCTTGTTTCTTCGCCTTGTTTTGTTCGCCGCTTCCGTGCAGATCCCACCCACAGCTCCCACTCCACACGCAGGGCCTCGGCGCTCTGCGGACACTTGGCGAGGCCTTGCTGAGTGCCAGGCGCTGCTGCTGGAAGGGCCGGGGGGCATCGGCTCGACTCAGGCCCACCTGGGAGGGAGGCACGTGTCTCCACTTTGAAGCTGAGCAAAGGGGCTCTGGGAGACTAAATGCCTGGCTCAGCCACACAGGCCTTGTGGGAATGAGACCAATGGAGACCGAGACTCCCCAAGCCAAAGCAGGGTCTGGTGTACAAAGCCCTCCAGGAAGTCTGCACCCCTGGGACTCCCCAGGGAGAGGCTTGGATGAGCTGGACAGGGTGCCCAGGACACCAGAACTACCCACCTTTGCGGGCACAAGGATCTGGAGCCCACCCTGCTGGCTCAGCTCCTGGGTGGGGGCCCCAGTTCCAACACGCATTCCCAGGAGCCCTTCCCAGCGTGAACCCCACCCGCCCCCATTCCAGAAGCAACTCTTGTGTCCCTGGCCTGCTCTCCTCCCACCAAATCCCTGCCAGGTCTACCTGACCCCAGCCCCCGCCAGCTGCCAGAGAAAGTTGGTTCCAAGGCCGAGAGCCACCTTGGCTCCCTGGGGCCTCCTCCTCTCCCCCACTGCTCACTGCCCACCCAGGACCTCAAGGTCCGGTCCCCAGAGGCCAGAGGCAGAGGAGACACAGAACACATCTGCCATTCCAGACTGTTCATGGGGCAGCTCTGGGGGCTGGGTGGCCTGCCACCCTCAGGCCCTGTCAGTAGGGCGGCTGTGCGCCTGCCGTCCAGCAGCGGTCACGGCTGCTGGGGCCCTGGCCTCCGTCCCCTGGCCTTATTCACATTGACAAGGCCGGTCACTGCCCGTCACATGCCTACGTGTGTGCCCGGGGCTTAACATGCATTCACAACCACCCAGGAGTCAGGGATTCTTATTCCCACTTTACAGATGGGGAAACTGAGGCTCGAGGAGGAGGCAAAGCAACACTTAGTGCATCCTCTGCTCACCTGTGCAAACCCGCAGCTTCCTCATGAGTAAGATGGGGACATATTGGCGTCCACACCACAGGGCCGTGGGGAGGAGTTCACGTTTCAAGTGCCCGGAATGGCGCCTGGCAGAGGGGGCACTGGCACGCGTGTCTGGAACAACATGGGGGCATGTGGTGAGCACCTGTCACAGGAGCAGAGAGATGGTGGAACCCGAGGGGGGCGCAGCGACGCCAACCAGGCAGCTCTGGGGAGGAGCGGAGGAGCTAGACGCGGAGATCGAGGGGTTCCCCGCGGAAGGCGCCGCGGGCTCCGGGAACAGCTGTTCCCAGACCAGGCCCTGGGGAACCCCCACCAGGGTGCCTGGAGGATGAGACCAGAGGGTGAGGTGGAGGAAGGAGGGAGGGGAGACATAGCATTCCCGGCACCACCTGCCCCCCAAGCCATCAAGGAGCGCCTCTCAGCTTTTCAATTTTACGGACTGGCATTCCGAAACCACGACTTGGTTTTCAGAGCCACTTCGCAGGCACGCTTTGGAGGTAGCGCGGGCTCGGCTCCAGGGAGCTGCGAGCGCTGCAGGAACAGGAGGTGTGGCTGGTTGCCAGGGCACATCCCTGCAGTCTACAGGTTAGCACCAGCACTGGGTTGGGTGGCACTGCACACACCTTACAGAATAAATCGTTTATTGCTAAAAAAAAAAAAAAAAAAGGCTAACCCTCCCGGGGGCATCGGTGCACTGAGGGGTGCCGGGGAGGGCGCGCCTCGGTGCGGCGGCTGCTGGCGGGTCAGGGTGGGCTTGAAGGCCGGGGTGGCTGCGTCAAGTTCCTGAAATAAGACAACATGGAATCTGCCACGTTGATTGGCCTTTCCCGTCGTGAAAGAGTTCTCGGAGCATCTGATGCTGTTGGACCGATTTTACCGCAGGAGAACTTTCGGAATCGGAGTCCGCCCCCTGAAGCCCTGCCGCTGCCTCACCCGCCAAGTCCGAGGCACACGCCAGACCCTCTCTTTTCCCTGCGACGGCAGTCACGGCATCTTCTCCAGGAGCAGATTCCTTCCCAGGAAACCACATTCTTGGTTCAGCCGTGAGAAACAACTCCTCTTGTCAGGGTTTGGTCCCCAGGGGGCAGCCACCTCCAGCTCCACTTCCAATCCGGCCCTAGTGCGTCTCCTCCGTCTCCTCCAGCAACCTTCCCCGCCCAAGTCTCGAGCCCCAAGACCGCCTGGAGCACCAGGACCAACCACTTCCAAATGGCGGCCAGGGTGGGTCTCTTGACCTCCTCCCACGG